TGTATTTCTCTTTTTAGCGATTTTGACGTACGTTACTTAAGTCGAGAGTCTTTCAGAGACAATATCTTTATCTCTAGGAAATAGAGATGTGATATTTATACACTTCACTTTTTTCATATTTACTTATTCAATCACACTACATATATTATTTTTATTACTTTCTTTTTCATAATTAATCTACTTTTAACTAAATGTGAAAAGAATTCAACAGTTTAATATGACACAAAACCATTCAATTGAAGGACTTTTAAATGTGAGTTTCTTTCACCTAATTTAACTACAACCACTTGTAGTGTATCGTCGGTGTTTATTCAGTATATGATAAATATATAATAAGTATATTATGTATACACTGATTACCATAATTATCTAGTTATGTTGGCAAAAAAATGTAAAAATTAATAAAAATTAGGGTTATTTTGTAGTCGTGGACTTTATAGGGCAACTTTTTAACCAATAATACGTCTTTTCACCATCTAAAAGGACGACAAATTAAAGAAACAAAGTTTATAGTTAAGATGATACTCATTAATACTATTATTAATGTTATATACAATGGAAAAATTTAAGTCTTTCAATAATTAATACTTGTTTCCAATATCTTCACATACTAAAATAGTAAAATATATAAAGTCTAAAGTGTTAGAATTTAAATTCTTTAAGAATGATTCCAAATAGTTGATGGTTACTGGGAATAAGGTTTAAGAATCTCTCAAACTATAATGAAATTGTCAATATTAATTTTTTGGACTTAATTTTTTCGTATTATTTATATTTCTAAACAATGCGAGGGTCCAATAATTCATATATTATTTGTATTTTTTATTTTTTATTTTTTTAATTAATTAACAATTTGAAATATTTTTAAAAAAATATAAGAAATTTGGTTGACTTTACATATTCTATTTGTATCACACAAATTGAAACTGATAGAATAACTAAGTTACGCATTCATCTTTCTTATTTTCTTACGATCTCTTTTTTAATTTATATTTCATCTTTTCCACCTGTCCTTACATTCCAATTCAATCATGAGAAATATTATAAGTAAATTTAGTGGGACAATTAAGTCTACGTATATATAAAGTGATACTCAACCAATGTACACATCAAAAAACTAAAAAGAATTATACGACATCTTTCAATATATTCTCATTCAAACATAGGAAATATTTAGAAGTAAACTCGGTGGGCCAATTAAACTAATGTAGGGCAAAATAATTTTCATAAATACTCATTTGTCCTATATTTTTACTAAAAATAATTGTTTCATATTAGTTGATCACCTTACTAAATTAAGAAAGTATTAATTAATTTTTTCTATATTACCCTTGCTATTAATTCTTTTTTAAAGTGTTCACATTTGTTTGTAAAATTTCCAAGAAGTTTTTTAAAGGGTGAATTAGTAACATTATCTTTGTATTTATGCTTAATATGCATGTAAAAAGGAAAGTAATCAACTAATATGAGACGGGTGAAGTAACGCATTTAGCATTTGTTTTTGTAAAACATATCGATTTTTTTCTAACGTAACAAAATACACTGAAAGCAAAAGTTAATTGATCATATGTATGACCAACTGTATGTGTACGCATGTGTTTTTAAAGCAAAAGTTGGATGTAGATGTGTGTATGTAGTTGAAGGGAACGGGGAGGGGATTACGGATAATCCAACCCTCATTAGTAAGGTGAAAATTTATGTAGCTAACCAATTGAGCTATATATAAGTGTATAATATTGTATGTATTATAATCTCTGATAAAGCAACATCAATTTTCCAGTGGTCAATTAAAACGTCAACGAACTTCGGTGACAACAAATGGATGAGGTTAAGGAGGGAGTGACGATATATATTACTCTCTCTGTTTAAAAAAGAATGATTTCCTTTCCTTTTTAGTTTGTTTAAAACCCCTTTCCCTTTTTGACAACATTTTAATTTCAACTTTTCACATGACATGTTTAAGACCACAAGATTAAAGTGCATTTTGGTACATTTGACATAATTTTAATTTAGGACCACAAGATTGATAAGTCTTTTTTATTTTCTTAAACTCCGTTCCAAGTCAAACTAGATATTTTTTTGGAAGGAAGAGGGTATAAAATTACATAATTTTTCTATATTTTATAATTATTTAAAAGTACCACTATAAAAAGAATAAAATACAATATTTATAACCTTAAATTTTTAAAGAAGTCTGTGTGATATTAAATTTCAGTGGAAACAGCTTAATGGATTTGACATTTTTGGATATCAAAAACAATATCTGATAATTCACTCATGGAGTTTACTTCCAAAGAGCAAGCGTCATCAAAATGATATATTTATATACAAACCTTAGTACAAACTTCGATATTTTAATTTCATTGCAACAATTTTAACTTCTTCTTAGTTTTTAAATGCTTTTTATTTTATTTTTCCTTGAAGTCTTTGTAATTTGAAAAAAGAACTAGAAAATGTGATATAAAATAGATAAATATAATATCAATTTTGGCTCCTAAGTACTAACCTTCTAATAACACCTTCCTAATAGTATAAAAAAATCCTTGATAGAAAATATCTTCTTTAAATAGATTTTATGTAACGTAAATTTGAATTTGTCGAACTTTAATATGAATACTGGACACTGAATGACATAAAGAAAAGAAGAAGAAAAAATGAGTAAGAAAGAGCAAAACATGAAACAAATTAAAGCCATATATTATTGGTTGGTGGATATATGGCATGGTGAATGGTGACTCTTTGGAAAAGCTTTCACATTTTGTCTAGTACTCATATTGAATTTGCCAACTGTTAATTAATTATATAATTGATGGATCCTTTAAAACTCCTTTTCATTAAATTCTCATATCAATTAAAGGAATTCTTAAAAACATTTATGGGGTCATTAGCAAGTAATTTTTATTGACAGGATCGACAATGAAAGTTCATTCTTTCTTAATCGATAGCTAAGAGTTTCTTTTTTAAAAAAAAAATCAAATTGTATCGCAAGTTAAAGTCCTTGCGGAGGTTTAATACATCTACGTGTCATGACCTCAACTGATATTTATATATGCATTTCAATTTTGGGTGTGTATATGTAGACACTTAAATTTGTTTAAAGTTAAACAAGTAACCACGAACATCCTACATGACATATATAATACAAATCAATTCGAGTGTATTTCACATGAATTTCTATATAGGACGAGTGTGTCTATATACTTGTTTGATTTTTTACAAATTTAAGTATCTATTTGTGCACAACCAAAATTGAAGTACATATATGTCATCTGAAATTCAAGTCGTGTTTATGTATTATGGTTTCAATAAAATTGGCACGGCCTTCCGGAAGGATGTTAAGCACAAATCGAAAAATGTTCAATTTCATTTAGGGATTTTATATAAATCTCACAGTGTTAAGAGATAGTTACATCATATCCCATTTTTTTCAAATTACAAAAATCTCTTAAATTTGGTGGAATCTGGATACAATATCCCAAAACGTCCTGATACATCGCGTCTCGATTTCTAATACATCTCTCAAATCCCGATACATCTCGTCTTGGTTTCAGATACATCACTCAACATTTCGATACATCGTGTATGTCTCAATACATCGCGTAAAGTGATGTATTCGACCGAAGTGTCATGTAAAGTGATGTATCCGATTGATATATCACGTAAAGTGATGTATCATAGAATAGAGATTTTTGTATATTTTCTTTTGTCAAATGCTAGAAAATTATAAAGAATATGATAAAATAAGTTTTGTATTTAGATAATTTTTCTTTTTTTTAATCACACGTTAAGAAAAGATTTTAGAAATTAAATGCCCTTCCAATGGATACAAAATCATACACTTGGTTGTGTCTAGTAAGGGAACTTCAGTACTACTATTTTGTCCCTCACTCTTGAATTATTTTATTTACTTTGAATATATATATATATATACGCGCAAGGAAACTAGGCAACTAGCTAAGATAATATATACATATGTTTAAATAAATTAATCCATGAGATAATTATCTGAAATTAGATACTCCCTCCTTTCCAATTTTATGTGGCACCGTTTAACTTGGCATGATGTTTTAAAAAAAAGGAAGATTTTTAAAACTTGTGGTTTAAAATAATCTTTAGATATTTGTGTGGTGGTAAATTATTTCATTAAGGGTAAAAGAGAAATTTTAAAGTAGAATTGTTTCTAATTATAATAAAATGATATTTTGTTTTGAGATGGACTAAAAAAAGAGCAACTTTCACATATAGCAAACATAAAAATCATATTTGTATGTTATAGCTATAGTTTGCATAATTGTGCTCCATAGCAAATTATATGTAACCAGATGGCAAAAAAATGAGATGATTGTTGCGAATTACAAATAAAATAAACTATGACTATATCATTTAATTTAAATTAATAATTTGTTATTTCATACAACTCTCCATAATTTTAATAGTCGAAGGAAGGGTAGCGTTGCCTTTCATGTTCATACCATTTAAGGTCCTTGACATCTTATTAGATGCAAAATTACCTAAATTTATTACCAATTTCTCAATCTAATAACTATTTCCTTAATAATAGAAACAAAGCCATCAAAAAGGCTCAATCACAATCTAGAGTTTATGGGTTATGAATTTTCCATTGAATCAGTCATACATATTTAATAAATTTGTATTGAAAATATAATTAAATTAATAATAAAAGTATATTCTTTCAAACAACTTAAGTTTTTGCATGAGACAATCACAATCTTTAACCCTTTGTACCTGCGGCGGCTACCACCCCCACCACCGAACCCCCTCCCCTCCCTCCCTACACCCCAACCCTAGAAATTCTACATGTTATGATACTATGTTGAAGATTGTGATTTTGAAATCGAAACTAATACTCTCCCTTTGCCCCTTGCGGCGGCTACCACCCCACCACCTACGAAACCCCCTACACCCCACCCCTAGAATATTATTTTATAATAGAGAAAAGTAAAGAAAAGAAAATAGAGTTGTCTAAGTGGAAGGTCCAAAAAAACTTCTCTATATAATAAGCATAGGATGAAAGGGCTTTTTGTCAAATATCCAAATACTATTATTGTTTACCAATGGCCACTAGAAGTGTTTTGCTCTCTTCTTCTTTTCTTCTCATTTTGCTTTCATTCTCTTTGGAGAAAAGCAATGCTTTGGAAGGAAGAAAAACAATTGAATCCAACTTCCACACTATCCAACTCACCTCTATTCTTCCTTCTTCTTCTTGCAAGCCTTCTAGCAAAGGTAATTAATTAAATCTCCCTTTTATATTATCCTCAAAACAATATATATTTAGTTTTAATTTTGGCATACTAATTAATATGTTTGTATATTAATGTTATACATTGCTATATCACCATTTTCATTATAAATATTCATCTACTTTGATTTTTTTTTCTTTGGTGTGGTGTGGTGTGATGGCCTATGCTTAGATAAAGGAAGAAAGGGAGGGCAAATTTTGTCGTCCTTTCGTATCATTTTCCGTGACTTTCTTTTTTATTTAGTATTTTAGTAAAAAAGATACGACATGTTTTCATAATCATGAAATTACAATTATGATACGATTAAGCTCACAAAATTAAATTTAAAAGTATTCTTAATTATGTGTTAAAAAGCTTTTTTTTATTCTTAATTTTTACGGTTAGTCAAACATTATGTTATAAAATAAAATTAATTTAATATTACCTCATATCAACCTACTTTATTTTTGTAATTTTCCTTTTTAATTGTCTATTGTTTTAGGGGGGTGAAAATGAGGTTGGATGGCTGTGGGGTTGTGGTCAACGAATGGATGATATTTTCTTTTCAAAAAGTTGTGGGGTTGATAATAAAGCAATAATCCATCTACTAATATATTCGAATTGAAATTAATTTACCATAAGAAGTTATATTTATGCTGGGGACCAAAGTTTTACCAATATAGATTATTGATGGAGACATTCTAAAAATTCAAAAAGAATTAATTACTCCACAAACTTACCTATATATAAATTCACATGAATAGTATTCAAATAGTTACAAAATGATTGATAAGTTTTAAATTATAATCCTACTTATATTAAAAGGATCTTGATTAATCATGTTATAACTTTGCAATTATTGATGTTTTCATATTCACTATTTGTTATTTTATTTTATTTGTTGTCTCACTTTCTCAATTATTTGGAGCTCCACCTTGTCATGCAAGTTTCTGAAAAGTAAAACAACTATGGGGGACAAGTTTTTTGTTTTTTTTTTTTAAAAAAAAAGAGAATAGAGATAACTAACTAATAGTGAAGATTAAAATAAACAAAAGATTTATCCAAAATTTGGTGAAGACTTATTCAAAATACAACCTAACAAGAAGTCAAAATGCAATCAGTATATATTAATGATTTTAGTTGCAATCAATCAAAGTATTTAATTTCTGCCTAACTTTTCAACTAAGAAAAATAGGATTCAAATGATGAGAGTTGAAAACAATAGTCTTGTCTTTATTTATCCGGAAATAATCTCTTTATCTCTACGAAGTAGTAGGGGTATGATAGATACACTTTATCTTTTTTAAATTTCATTTATGAAATTTCACTAGGTACGCTGTTGTTATTGTCGTCTTTATAAATAAAACAAAATGATTACTTCAAATACTGAAAAACAAAATTAGGGAAAATTATTCCATATGTTCCCGACTTTTATTTGAAAGAGAAAGACTTCATGCTGGTCTTGTTGATATATTATATATAAAATGCAATTTAACAACTATGACTATCTCTCTTAGATTTTAAAGAATTATATTCAACCAATCACTTGCTTATATTTGCGGTGTAAACTTGTTTTCATATGCACAAAAATTCCAACTTATTATATTGGAAATAATATTTGAACTTTCCCTCCCAGCCGGTGACGCTAAGATTTCAACTTTATAAATTTTGAATTTTATAAGTGGGCTCTAACTTAACATACATACATATTTAAAGAATTTATCAATACAAATATATTATTTAAACAAAATCAGTGAGTCCAGCCAAACCTGTATGTAAGCTATTAGCTCCACGCATGATGCAAAGACGCACAAAAGATACTCTAATCGTTTCAATTTATGTGATGATGTTTGAAAAGTAACATAATAATTTTTTTAGGATTATAAGAACATATCAAGATAATATTTAAAAAAAGTATTATTACATTAATACTAATTTTGATTCAATTTTTTTATATTATCATTTTTAGGTAAAAGAGGAGGGACATCATTGGAGGTCATCAACAAACATGGGCCATGTTCTCAACTCAACAAAAAGGGTGAAAAAGGCCAAACTTTAACAGAAATCTTGGCCCATGATCAAGCCCGAGTGGATTCAATCCAAACCCGAATCGCAGCCCAAAACTTCAACCTATTCAGAAAGACAGAAAAAACCTCCAAAAAGTACAGAGCAAAAGACTCAAAAACCACTCTCCCGGCGCAACCCGGCACCGCTCTTAGCACCGGAAACTACATCGTCACCATCGGAATCGGAACTCCGAAGAAGGATCTCACACTCATCTTCGACACCGGCAGTGACCTTACATGGACTCAATGCGAACCCTGTTTCAAAACATGCTTTCCTCAACAACAACCAATTTTCAACCCATCGTCTTCTTCGACTTATTCCAACATTTCCTGCAGTTCCACAGCTTGTTCTGGGCTTAAATCAGCTACCGGAAATACTCCTCTTTGTTCTTCATCTACCTGCGTTTACGGTATCCAGTATGGTGATTCATCGTTCTCAATTGGGTTTTTCGCGAAGGATAAGCTAACTTTATCAGCAACAGATGTGTTTGATGGATTTATGTTCGGTTGTGGGCAAGATAACAAAGGATTATTCGGGAAAACCGCCGGATTAATCGGTTTAGGCAGGGATCCTCTTTCTATTGTATCACAAACATCTGCGAAATTCGGGAAATACTTCTCTTACTGCCTTCCTACCAGAAGAGGATCTAATGGCCATTTAACCTTCGGCAAAAATGGAGCTAAATCGAACCTCCAGTTCACACCATTCGCTTCATCACAAGGAACATCGTTTTACTTCATTGATGTATTGGGTATTTCTGTTGGTGGAAAAGCGTTAGCGATAAGTCCAATGGTGTTTAAGAACGCCGGAACAATCATTGATTCCGGTACTGTGATTACCCGATTACCTTCTACGGCGTATGCTAATATGCGAGCAACTTTCCGGGAGTTCATGAGCAAGTATCCCAGAGCACCAGATCTATCTTTGCTTGATACTTGCTATGATTTAAGCAATTACACTACCGTTAGCATTCCAAAAATCAGCTTCAACTTCAATGGCAATACGAAGATGGACTTGGTTCCAAATGGTATTTTCTTCGTAAACGGTGCATCTCAGGTTTGCTTGGCTTTCGCTTCAAATGGAGATGATGATAGTATTGGGATTTTCGGGAACACACAACAGCAGACAATGGAGATTGTGTATGATGTTGCTGGTGAGAAATTAGGGTTTGGTTATGGTGGATGTACTTGAAAAAAATGGTGAAATTTACTTATTGATCCAAAATACTGCAGCTGAAAAAGAATACTATATTGTAATAAGTACTGAAAAATGTATATCGATTTTATAGTTTTATGAAAGCGTGATCTTTGTTGAATGGTTGCATGGTACTTGTTTTTCTCTATATTCATTACCCCTATATTTGTACAAAAAAGTCACAAGTTATCGAATGAAGAATATGTGTTTTAGCTTAACTTGTTAGATTCGATTATTAGCAATTGAATTCTAAAATATAAACAAGTAATGTACCTCTTGAGGATGGAGTAGCGTGGATGTGGTTATTAAAAAAAATGTAAAGAGTAGCAACGTCATTGGTTTGACCGTGCCCCAAACATAAAGCCTAAGCCTATGTTTAGATGGATGGTCTCATTATCCATCGAGTTTTGAATTATGCTTTGCACTGGCCCTAATGTGTGGTCTCATCATTCATGCTTGGTTAGATTGACAAGCTCTTGTCCACGTTTCATCGATGGGAGCAACCTCCTGCAGATAGTGGTGAGCAAGTACATGTTACAAAAGGAACTGTTTGCTACATATGAGAGCATTGAGTGACAGCCAGGTATGTGCCAAAACATGGCCCTTGAAACATGATTAATTGATATTTATTGCTCTTTGTTTGTTAACGGCCTGTACATGAATGAATAATGATGATTTCAGAGCCAGATGCAATTGCTTCTTTTATGTTTAAATCTAAAACTCAGGTTATGAATTTGTACTGACAAATCTGTTTAACTTTTTCTCCTAAGCGAAAAATTATCATGTTTGTATTGATTGATTTTTTTCGAGTCTCACTGAGATTGTCCAGATTGAGGCGTACTTGTTGTCACTGAAAATGTTGCATACAGTTAATCCATTTATATTTGTGAGGTATCTTCTTATTGTTTTCTCAATCTTTTCTATTGATAGATTTCATTTTATTTTCTGATAGTTTCTGTATGTATTGTTAGGATATATAACTGGCTTGCATATATCCATCATATATGGAATTTGAAAATCCTGGCATTGAAACTAGTACCCAGATGTTGTCATATTCTTTTGAAAAGCCAAATAATTTGTGTTAGTCGAGAGGCCTTCCTATCAGATACCACTCTAAAAAAGCATGTACAAAGAAAAAACAAAAAAAAGGCAAAGATATATAAAATACATGATTCGATAATTAATGATAAACTGTTCAATAAAAGAAACGATCATTCAACAAAATTCATTCAAAAAGAATATAACAAATCCTATGATTACCGCATAAAATAATATCATGACGGACATCTAATACAAGAATCTCCAGAAATCATGAAATATATTAGAACTTTAATCGAACCACGTCATCTCCAAGTAGGACGGTAAAGTAGATGTAGTAGATAAATACAGAGTGCATTGGATGTCAATTAAATCATGGGAACTAAAAATTAGTTTGATTCTTTCCATATTCAGAGCAATTGCCTGAGTTATAAAACATGAGCGTTTTATTTTTGCTGCTTGAACCAAATTTGACCTTTTGCTTGCCTTTTTGTTTTGAAGTTTCTTACTTTCACAAATAAATCTTAGTAATAACTACAAGACATTCAAAATTATTCATTTAATCATTCCTTCTATTATTTAGAACAAAACAAAAGTCAAACCAAATACCATCAATTTTTAAAAATGTAAAACTAAACAAAATAAAAATAAAAAATGATTTGATTTGATTTTTCATACGGATACATTTTACCCAAACCGGGAACATCCCTACCCAGCAAGCACCTTAGGGGAAACGATATTACATCTCTATTATTTTGTGCCTCTCTTCCTTCCCACCATCCCAACAGGAAACCCAAAACTAACTTACCCCTACCCAAAGTAGAAAGCAAAAGTAGCTTTGCCATCAGCTTAACAATTCAGATTATCATACCAGAATGGCAAGGCAGTGGCATCATAACTAATTTTTCCCTGCTGCCAAATGCAAGTCGTAGCCAGCAACCTGAAATGGCCTCTCAATTGAATTTTGAAGATGATCATTCCCAAAGATTAAACAGGAAACACAGGAACTATTTCAAAATATACCTAGAAGAAAAGAGACAAGGATGCAGAATATCTATGGGCACAAATAAGAGCTCTGCCGCTGCAAATTCAAGCCATGGAAGTTAACAAGGTCGACCAAAACCAACAAATGACTAGTCCAAAATAGGCCTTCACTGACATGAAGAACCCAAATTCCTCCATGGAAGAAATCCAAGATAACATTGCGTGATGATGCTCATCCAATATTTCGTAAGCAAACAGTCTGAACATTACTCACTATGCCAATTCTAATAGCCGAGCATGACAAATTATTCAAAGGCATCATAAATCACACGCACACACCAAGCACACAAGTATAAAGTATCCAAAACGTTGTCCACACTCCACTACATAGGAAAAGACTATCCATTTGGCCAAGCCATGGTCGCAGAATGGTGAAAACTCAAATACGTATGTCCAGTGCACTCTACTCAGCAACTACATGTACTCCCTATCCCGATTCAGGAGATCCATCTCCATAGGAAACAAGACCTGCCTTCCCAGGGGGACTCGCCGAGGATGATACTGACTTGCCTCTGCTGACTTGCTTTGGTGATTGTGAGCCCCGAGATGATTTAGACTCTGATCGGCTTCTGCTCCGAGAAGGTGATTTACGGCGTTCAGCTGATGGTGACCTGCGATATCGGTCCACAGGAGAGCGACTTTGTACGGGGCTTCGACTATAACGGCGAGCACGGTAACGCACTGGACTACGTGAGACGCTGCGGCTTCGACTTCTTCTGCCTCTGTATCTGCATTTTGGCAGTGACAGATTAGCTCCCTGCCAAAGATAAATCTAACAAAAGTAGCATGTAGCAGAGATACCAGACCTGGGTGGTGTTCTTCCTCTAGGTGGACTCCTATAACGCCTAGGTGATCTCCTGTATCTCGAATATCTTGCAAAAGAAGAAAATTAATGAAAGAAGATTTCTATTTTTATTTCCTGTACAAATTAGAAAGGTTTGTGATGTTCACCTGTCACGCTCACCATAACGGTATGGCCTAGCAGGGGACCGATCAGGAGACCGACTCCTGTATCTACGAACATAGGAGTAACGCTCACTAAAGCCCCTTCCCCTCCTAATGCGCTTGGGAGATCCATCCACTGAAGCACTTCTTGAAGAGCTCCTCGCACGATCATACACTGGAGATCTTGCCCTACGACCTGCACTACCAGGACTTCTTGAATAGCTGCGTTGATTGTTCCTGCTAGGAGCCCTACCTGGACTTCGGCTTGGGCTTCGCCTAGAAGGAACCCTACCTGAACTTCGGCTTACACTCCGTCGAGAAGACTTGACAGGGCTTCTGCTAGGGCTCCTTCCAGAAGGCCTAAGCCTTGAAGGAACCCTACCCGAACTTCTGCTTGCACTCCTCCGCGAAGACCTAACAGGACTTCTGCTTGGGCTCCTTCGAGAAGGCCTAACAGGGCTTCCACTTGGACTCCTTCTATCAGATCTAACTGGTGTTCGGCTTTTTGATTTCACTGATTTCCTTGATGAGGTTCTGGGTGGACTTGGGGTAAGTTGCCTTTTAGGAGATGCTGAGGGACTTCTGCTGCTTCTTCGGTGTGAATGAGCTCTTGCTGGAGGACTCACGCTGACACTTCCTCCCCTCTTGCCTCCCACTGGGCTTGTACTAATGCTTCTTGCGGGACTACCACTGTGACTCTTAACAATGCTGCTGCTCCTCCTCTGTGAAACGCGATGCGGACTTCCACTGCGACTTGGACTTCTGCTTACACTACGTCTGGATCTCACACTTGGGCTTCTGCTCACACTGCGCTTTGGGCTAACACTTCGACTTCTGCTTAAACTCCTCCGAGGACTAATGCTCATACTCCTACTCATTGTCCTTTTGGGACTTATGCTTCTGCTCCTGCTCAATGACTTCTAATAAAATTCTGATTCTGAAAGAAACCATAAGCAAAAAGAATAACCGAGTAGCAATGAGAAATGAAGAGTAAACCTAGATTTGCCAGGGTGATCATCCACCACATCAGGCTGCCTATCAACAGGTTTATCAGATCTAATTTCCATTTTGGTATTATTGCTTTGACGCTCTCCATTCTCCTTGGGAAATTCTACCTCCTCTCCTTCAAAAATGTCAGTTGCCTCTTTCTTGTGATGAAGAGAAACTGCTTCTCCCTCCTCAAGCGAAGGAGAATGATTTCCTTCTGCAAAATGTCCGTAAACCATTTAACCACGAGCAAGTTACATCATAGAGATTTTCAAAGAGTCAAGAAGGTTGCAATATGACCAGTTTAGATTAAATGTCATATCTATACTGTAAATGCAAAAACTTCAGTGAATTACAGATTTTCAAAACATAATCCCATCAACTAGAAAGTGTGTACAAGAAAACCTTTTAGATGGGGAGATGAAGAATCAGATGTAGTACCATCATAGAAAGAACTTTATGAAACCAGAAACAATATTATAGAACTTCAAAAATCTTAGTAAAATTTAGAGAAAAAAGGATCAATACTTGACAGCAACAAGTGAAGAATAAGACAGTACACCTAGAACCAGAAAGAGAAATAAATGGATAGCTCAAGAATTTATCTACTTTTCATGAAAAATCACAAAGTGGTGAAATAGAATTTGCTGGTGAGTTGCGGGATTATTGGTGTATAAAGAAGCTTGAACAACAGTGTCAATCACTCAAAAGATCAACTGCAGTCTGCTCCCCCTCCAGAATTAGAGTCCGTTTCGATTGACTTAAAAAAAGTAGCTTATAAGTCAAAAAATAAGAAGTCGAACTTAAATGACTTTCAAGTCTAAAAATAAAAAGTAGGGGAGACTTACTTTTAGTTTTTAACTTTTTTAAGTCATTTTAAACTTATTTTAAGTTATTTTTAACCTTGCCAAACACTTCCAAAAACTAAAAATGACTTAAAAGTGGGTTTGACCAACTTTTAAGCCAATCCAAACAGGCTCTTAGAATTGTTCAGTAATGATAAGCTGAGAACCTTGCCTGATGTGAAAGAAACTCAAAGAATCCAGCTGCACATGCCTAACAAAGAACGTTGACTTGGAAAAGATTCAAATAAAACTTATGAAAATACAGTAATTCTGGGGGAATCATGCGGTTAGGCTTATTATTTGATGTAACCTTAGGCCTGCTTGCTTGTGAGCATTTTTTAATCCTACAGATAAACCTTAAGAATCAAGTCGGAAAAATATTGGTCTTATTGTATACCTACACAAAAAGTTCTACAGTAATTAACAACATTCTCACCACTAAGCATGGCCTATTGCTGCAATTATACTGGACGAAACCATCATTTGAAAATGCAAGAGATACAAAAGCATGCCAACTTTTACAACTCCCAAATTAATAGAGTTTTAATGCATCCAAAAAAGAGAAAAATCTGATGCATATATACAGACTTGGAATCAACTCCTGAAACCAGAAACGATCAAAGGAGCATGTTTATGTAACTGAGGGCTAGAGACCAGCAAATACAAGATTCTTTGAAATACCTGTTTTCTTTTCCATACTTTTGTGCTTTCCTTCGGAAGACCGTCTTACACCATCTTCCTCTAAACCATCACGTCCATTCTCACTTTCTGAAGGACTGTCTGATGCCCTGGTAAAGAATATTGGAATGAAAAGAACTTCAGTCTCTTAAATTCCCACATGGAATGAAATTATTATAGTCAGAGATGAAAGAAAATATTCCAATTGTTACCCCCATTATTGAACATATGGCATCTAAAACTGCGCAACTTAACAACATATGGAACAAAAGATAGAATACTGAAGAACAACCTTTTTGATTTGCGCTTAGATTTCTTGTCACGCCTTTTGCGCTTTTTCTCACGTCGCTTCTCCTTTCTTTTGGAACGTCTATGCCTATCTCTTTTAGATCTCTTCTTCTTCCTCCGTCTATCATCACTTGATGAGCTAATTTCAGAATCAGAAGATACATCTGAGTCAGAATCACTTTCAGACTCAGAAGACTCGGTATCACTATCTGTAGAGCTCTCTGATTCTGATGTATAATATCTCCTCCTCTTTTTCCTTCTCTCTTTGGAGGATTTTTTGTGCTTCCCATTTTTCAATTTATTTAGCTTTCTCTTATCTGCACCAAGGAGAAGTAAAATCAAATAAAGCCTCATAACTTGCAGACTTTTCAATTAACAAAAACTACATGGAGAAACAACAGTAAAGGAGTATTCCAAAGCAAGCTTCCAAGAGCAATGGAACTTCAGAAGTCTCACCATCAGGTAACTCGCCACAATTGATTATCTTTACAGTCACATCAGGTTTTCCCTCTTCATTTCCCACACTCTCAATCTTCTTAAGAACTTCAAGGCCATCAATAAGTTTCCCAAAGACTACACATTTCCTGTCAAGAAAAATATTATGCAGCAATCTGTAAAAGCAAGCTTCCAGCAGAGTAGGAAATTACAATCAGCATCTACAAGAGGCACTAAACTATCTTGAGAAATTATAACAAACCTGTCAAGATGATGGTCAGCCTGAAAGGTGATGGAAAATATAGAACCGCGTGCATCACGATCAGCAATAGCCATAGATAGTAGACCTTGGGAATCATGTTTTATCTTCGGCGACTCATCTGAAATATTCAATTAATTTCACTTGTTACAGAGCCTGTCTTTTTTCTTTCAAACAATTGATTTAACAGAGAAGGGCCAAAAATGCATGGACTATCACAAAAGGTCAATGCACCCTTTCATCAACCTATTTTGCTAAGAATACCTCTCTAGTTATATTTTTGGCTCACTTGTGCCCTTTGACTAATGGTCAAAGCTGAATTTTAAGAAAGTTCATTAAAATAAATCCACTCACCCAGTTTTCCGATTTACCCGACCCAAGCACTTGGATTTTGTTTTTTTCATTTATACTCTTCGAATTTATTTTTGTGAAAAAACTTTTTTAAAATTATTTTAAACAAGATCGACCTCAAGATGTAGACTTTTTCAGCGACAAAAACTGGAAAATTTTAAAATTATTTTAAACAAGATCGACCTCAAGATGTAGACTTTTTCAGCGACAAAAACTGGAAAATTTTAAAATTATTTTAAACAAGATCGACCTCAAGATGTAGACTTTTTCAGCGACAAAAACTGGAAAATTTTAAAATTATTTTAAACAAGATCGACCTCAAGATGTAGACTTTTTCAGCGACAAAAACTGGAAAATTTTAAAATTATTTTAAACAAGATCGACCTCAAGATGTAGACTTTTTCAGCGACAAAAACTGGAAAAATGCACAAAGACTTCCGAATTCTTAAGAAGTATTTATTATTATTATTAACAAGATCGACCTCTAGAGGTCAGGTTTTTTAGCACCAAAAAGGGGATAATGCAAACTGACCTCTAGAGGTCGTTTTTTTATTAAAAAATTGTTAAAGAGTTCAAAATTGGACCGATAATAAACTGCCATGTGGAATTTAAATAAATTTTTTCAAAACTCAGTGTTGATCAATAGTCAAAGGAAATAAGTGAGCCCAAAATGTAACCAAAGGGGTATTTTTAGCAAAATAGGTGGATGAAGGGTATTTAGACCTTTTGCGATAAGCCGTGGGCATTTGTGACCCTTCTCTGTTGATTTATTAGTTCAAGCTATCACATCAAAGAGATAAATCTATAGGCCCTGCAAATATTGCACCTCCAAAAAGGTGATGCTAGACACATTTCATTTATGCAATTGGCAAACTAATTGCACCTGAGCAAGTGCACTATACCATGATTTACAAAACTAAAACCAACAAAATAATTTTAATTTGTAAAGTATGCCCTCTCACTAGCCATTATTCCAAAATTAGCATATAACCTAAACTATAGTTGTTTGCCAGGTTGTGTATGTAGAAATTGATAAGAAAGATCCATTACTGAATCCTTCCAAAAGATATTTTTGTAAGATCACCTACACCTAGAGAATAGTCAGGTGTCAATATACAGCGAACATAAGATGTTCATCATATACAGATAACGCAAGTATTATTACCCATAAAATTACAAACAGGCAATTTTTTCTACAATAGAAACTGCTAAACTTTGCCAATCCGCAATTTTCCCCTCGTGACAGTTTTCCTAGGTAATCATGACTAATCACAAAATTCTACCATACAGCTACTGTTCTGATCTGATAACCAATTACCTCGGTTCTGCAGTAAAGTTATAATAGATTTCCCTGGGATTGTTCTGAACAAAATGAACCATACAGAACAATCAAAACAAGGCTTAAATCACTAGAAAAGAAACTCAAACTACTATAAAGTAGAAAACCAAAAACAATATCGACAAAAGCACAGGCAACATAGCCTTCATGTCCCCTACCATTATCTGAGAGGAACAATGTCCAATACCAATGAATTGAAGCTCCCAAGCAGCGTAGAATTAGATCAAAGTCAGCCCCAACCTTCACAGGCAATACAAAAGGAAAACCCATTTTCTTTCAAGATAAATGATTTTTTTGCTAAAAGGAATACACACACTGTTGTTTGCGTTTTGATTTACTATCCATTATATTCTAGTCCTCTCAAAAAAAAGTAGGGCAGTCATTCAGTACATGAGACGAACATAAAGCAGTCACAAGATATGAGGCAAATTCCAAAATTATGGTGGGAATAATAAAAGAGGTCTCACCTGGAAACTTTCCCCCATAGATGCTTTCCCCATAGTTCCCTGAAAAGAAGTAGGCACATCAACTCAGGAATTTTAACCAGAACCTGTTGCAGTGTTCCCATTCAGCTTTGCAAATTTGACTGAGTCAAGAAACACTTACATTGTAAAATATGCACATGAGATTATTTTCAACTCAACAAAAGGTAACATGATTTACAATTAGCAAATTTAATATATAAAGCAACTCAAGCACCGCTTATACCAGCAATTTGTTTTTCCATTCGTTGCTATTATTTTCTTGAGGCTCTAGACTAGACATATTCACATATTAATTCATCCAAGTTTCCTTCACATTGCCAAATGCGTATCCTCACAAATGTAACAGAGAATGCCAGAGACAAACCACAGCCAATAATGTCCTCAAATGAGAGGCCATTCAAAGAAAGGTGCAACCATGCATAACATCCCTTTCAATCAGTCTACAACAATGGCATTGACAAAACCAGACTACAATCCGCCATTCTACTCATATTTCAGTGTCTCAGGTCATATCACGGGAAGAAGCTCATATAATTCATTTAACTGGTTAATGTCGTACTTTTCCTAGGACATAGATAAAAAAGATAACACACATATATACTATCATCAACAACAAATTTTAGTACCAACTGTGAAACATGATTCCTTCGTAACATATAGACTCATTTAAGGGGGGCAGGGTTCAAATGCCTGAGGAAAGCCCTACATCCAAGGATAGGACATACTGGAAATTATGTGAAGAACAATAGAGTGTAGAGAGTGGGGCAAAGAGGGGAAATGAAGAAGCATGTCATTCGCTCCAACTTAATAAGCTGCAAATCCAAAACAGATGACTGTATTGTATATGGAACAAGGCAACAATATCACATCAATCAGTCATTCAACTATGATTCAACTCCAAATTAATTGGGGTTTATTACAAGAATTTCTGATTCACTCTGCTCCATTAAGTTTTTTCATTTCAATGCTAATAATTTGGTTGTCAAGGCAAATTAGAATTACAGATTCTCAAAACCTAGTACTTAAATTCACATGGACATATGAGTCTCTGGACACACTAGACGTAAAGTAACAATACTCAAGTCTTAATACCAACTAGTCGGTATACTCTATATAGATCCTTGCTTTTATTATTTTCTGTTCAGCTAAGTCTTCAGTGGCCCTGTATAAGATCTGACAGTTTCTAATTGTATCTAGTCATATCCCCGCACATACATTTTAACACCTACATTTCATTACAATTCATCTTTCGGATAAATTAGAGCTTTGGAGACCCAACACTCACTAACATAAATTGTAGGTACACAACCATTCTATCAAACTTGTTCGGAAGCTGCTCCCTTCTGTAAAATACTCTAGTAGCACTCCTACATCTCATTCAACCTATACAAATTCTGTGTGCTATATCATCTATCTATTCCCAGAAAGACTTAGCTAAAACATACGCTCGTCTTTGTCTGCATGCAGGTACCTCAATTTTGCTAATCTCATTTCACCAACAGTTACCTTAATAGGGCAAAAACAAAATGGTCAAAATTAAACCTAAAATTAATAGTATAGAATCAACTAAGATTAGTCCATCAAACACTGTATTTTAGCAGACCATCAGTTGAGTATACACAAAGCTTAATGTAGTATGTTGATCGAAGGCATACCATCTTGTCTCAGCAAGTCACCAGCCTGAAATAGAGAGGGGAAAAACCAATTAGTTAACTATCACAAAAGTACATGAACAATGAGCCTTATAATATGCTGAAGCTCGATAATACAGAGGACGAATGACTCAGTTAACACAACCTTAAAACTACATCACAAGAAATGCAGTTGTGACCATCAGCCCTGCATCCTACAGCATAAACAAGGATATCTGACTAAAAGGAAACACCACTTCTTAGCCATGCTCAACCACAAAGCTAAGAGCTGTGCAATGGAGCACTTCTTTTAAGGTAACAGCGCAATGGAGCACATTCAAACTACATGTCAATAGAACAAGCATACCAATAACCTACAAACATACCTGAGCCACAGATCCCTTGATAATATGATGGAAAAAGGTTCCTTTATAATGCAATGGTCTTCCCGTCTTAGAGCTGACTCCTTTCTCCCCTGAAGAATAACAATTTCTTCCTATGTCAGTTGAGGATACCACAGCACTTAACATGGAGATGGATAAAGCATCCAAGGAAAGGAAGAAGACAAAGATCAATTCCCACTAGATGACGATTCATGTCACCCTATAACATAAGGAACTAATGACCATGGCACCTTGAACCGACAGCCAACAGCAACCAGCCAATACCCCAGAAAAGGAACTTGTTAAGGTAACCTGAACCACTTCTCTATTAAAAGAAATCTAAGGAGATAAATTAAGACTGAGCAGACAAACTTCCATGAAGAAAGTGAACATCTAGGCGATTTTATCAACCTGTCATCTGCACTGCGAGTAATTCTTTATCCATAGACTGTTTGCTGGTCAGAGTACATTTTCTTTTTACATGGAGTTGCTAGTTAGCTTACAAAATATTTTGCAGCAAGTTAATTATTTATACTCTTTTTGTCTTTTTGATAAAGTATTGTACTTATCCTTCTTCTCATGGGTAGTTACTTTTACATGGGCAAGCATCATATAAGAAATTATTGTAGCACAATTAAGAGAAAATTCAAAGACAGCAGGAAAGTTGACAGATTCTCACTATGTTATGTGATGGTATGTAACAATTTGGCACCAAAAAAGAAATACAACTTTGGATCTTTCAAAAAGAGAGAACTAGGAATTACTCAAAGTGAGTCCCCATTCAATCTGTCTATCACTTATAATTTCCACATTTGGGAGAACAATTTTGCAGCACTGAACCCCAATTTCATGTTATGGAACCACAATAAGGTCTGAATGCAGGTCAGAAGTATGTTAAAGAGAAGAACTCAGCAGAATACGGGCAGGATAAAAGGTCACAGAAGGAATGTAACTAGAAAACCAATCTGAAAGGCTTAGACTAATGTATGATACATGAGCAGCACTCTTATATTTGTCACCTGTACACAGTGCACGAAAGTTCTCTGCAGTTTTTGGAGCAACATCGGTGAAAAGCTGCAAATAAGATAACTCAAGGGTAGCCAACTGTAAGTATCTCGTTATGTGAGTTCAAATACGTATATTTAGGGATAACAAAGCTAGCTGGTGGATAGCTTGATACCTCAAAAGCCAATCTTTCAACTGGGTCACCATCAATAGAAACATCAAGGAACACCTGTGGTTTCTTCTTACTCATCTTTATGGAACTTGTTGCTTCAAAAACTCAGGCTGGCAGGTATATCTTCAAATAAGAAAGAGGGGAGTAAGAGCATGAACTATAAAGAAGGTTACATATTCTACTTTAACTATGAAAGGAAAGATACAAGGGAAAGCATGTTGAAGGAGGAGATTGTATAACTGGTGCACTTTGGAATTGACTACAGAATATCATATTCAAAAAAAATCCATTTACTTGATGCAAACAAAAACCAAAAAGAACAAAGAAGAAGGCTGGCTGATAAAATATTCAGTAACATATGGCTAAATTCAATGAAGCACACATCCTCTACCAAAAGATATGCTTGAAGTTACTCACAACACACAATCATCAAAAAAAGGTTGGTCAAAAAGTGCCAAGCCAAAAAAAAAAAAAAAAAAAACCAAGGCCAACACAAGATTTACAAAGATATAGAATAACATAGAGCCCCAACCATCAAAAGAGTAACCTCATATGTATCTTCATTGCTAACAATCCTTTAAAAGGGTATAGACACCAACAAGAATAAAGTAAAGTGTGTTAACATAACATATCTTGACTAACCGCACCATTAAGTACATACTGCAAAACTGCACACCCTAAAGGTTATACTCAGCTAAATTCACATCCATCTAACAACACATACTTGACTCAAGGGAAAAATTAGTACGCAGCACCAATTGCAAAAGAGAACAGAGGAATATCGAGCCACTAGGTCCCAAATATTATTTACATTATTGGAAACACTAAATTCACCCAAAGACGCTAAGAAAAGAGTGCAAAGCCCAAGAGAGAAGAGCACAGAAAATGGATCCACTTCAAAAGACTAGAAACCATCTTACCTATCGTACATGACACAGACTCAGGCACATTTACACATCTAGTAAAGACACACATCTTAAGGAGCAAGACAATGTTTGTAGATGATGAAATGTGCTTGGATTGTTGAAGTTTTTACTTTTCTTCTAAAGATTTGTGAGTGGAAGTAGATAAGACACTCACTCAACCCTTTCAAAAAGAAAAACCCAAAAACTTGAAAAAAATTGAGCAAGAAAATTTCAATCATTTTAGCTAGTTATTTTTTTTTTCTAATATCTGAACGACCTGCAAACAGAAACCACAATCTGTTTATATCATAAACTTCAAGCATGGGAACACCAGCTTCTTAACAACTTTATGCAAACAAAAGAACCCAATAACCTCGCCATTTGCCAAAACCCTACTGTTGTACCCAATTCAGCTAACAGCAGCCAATTAGCTAACAAACAATCAACTACATACAGCACTTCGAAAAAAATTATATACAGTACAAAATTCATAGTTAATTATACTACAAACGTTACCCAACTTCACTAATCAGAGAAAAAAGTAGGTAAAAATGGTGAGAAAAAGCGATAAAAATCTCAAAATTGAGCAGAAGAAGAGAGAGATGGATACCTGAAAACTAGGCATCAAAACGATGAAGGAGCTTTGAGTGAAATGTAAGGACGAGAGCGGCGATATAGCTAATGAGGATTTTAGGGTTTTCTATCTTCTCCAAATTCTGTACTCTGAAGATTTATAAATCACTATCGGGAAAAAAAATAAAATTTGGAAGATGCGACAATTTCTAGAATTCTATTAAGGGGCATAATTGTCAATATACCACTAAAGTATAGCTCGATGAGAAATAAGTTATTCGTACACTAGTAAAATTATTCGCACTTCGCGCAGAAATTTAATAGTATCATGGAATTTATAAAATAGTGCTTAAAATCTATCGGTCATTAAAACTAAAACACTATATTATCTTACATATAAGATTACGTAGTAACAGACATTAATAATGTAAAGAAAAATGAAAATTATTACATCTTTATCATTTATCCTTAATAACATAATCATAAATTAATGACTGTAAAATTACATACCAGGATCTGTAACATAAGCAATGGTATCAGTGAGCCACTCAACAGGAGCAAAGTAAACAAATATTTAATTGTGAAGAAGAAGAGATTTAGAATTTTAGTTGTTTTAAAATGAGAGGAAATCTCTCTATTTATAGACAACAAAGAGTAGCGTGAACAAATGTTTATTGTGTTTTATGAGAAAGGGTTACAACTATTTGGAAAAGTTGCAACCATTTGAAAAGGTCACAACCTTTCATAAAAGTCAGAATTTTTCATAAAAGTTGCAACTCTTCATTAAAGTCACAACTTTTCATAAAAGTCACAACTTTTCATAAAAGTCGCAACTCTTCATTAAAGTCGCAACTTTTCATAAAAGTCACAATTTTTCAATAAAAGTCGCAACTATTCATTAAAGTCGCAACTTTTCATAAAAATCACAATTTTTCATAAATGTCACAACTTTTCATGAAAGAGGAAGGCTAGTTAAAGTTAAAAAATTTCATAAAAGTCGCAACTTTTCATTAAAAGGGGAAGGCTAGTTTTGAAAATAAATAAATTAAAAGAGAATTCTGTTTTGTGGTGACGCCATATAGGCGGGTCTAAGGTTATCTTTTATATATATATAAACTAATATTCCATAAATAACTAATTCATGCATAAAATAATATATAGATTCTTTCGTAACTATCTCTATATTACTCATACATGCATAACTCTAACCAGCCTCTAAATCTCAATTAGAATTTGTATCTATTGAACAAGTCTATCGCTTTGAATTTGAATCAATTGAAATCAAAAGTATTTTTAAAATAATAAAAATTGAAATTAATGCCTAAGCGTACGTTTTTACATGTGAAACTTATTCCCCAAATTTAAGGCTTACGCCCTATAGATCTATGCCTTTAACCTGTGTCCAAGAACATTTTTGGTATGCTACACCCCGAAAACGCCTTTGAAGACATTAATAAAAGATTTAATAGATCATTTATTCGTTTATTTGTCTATTTACTTATATAGTAGATGATTTAAGGTATAAAATTTTAGCTTATACATAGTGGATTAAATTATCGTTTTTTATAAATCTAAACTTTTTGTTCACAATCTAGTATAAAATTGGACTAGTCATCGGTATGATTATAAGAACGATGTTTGTCTACCCTAAAATGTACAATTAAATTTGTAAATGAAATTTCAAGAATAATAAGACCGAATTGATTAGATATAGCGAAATAATCAGAATGAATAATATAATAAAAGAGAAAAAAATAAAGTAGTTAAAATATGAATATTGATATAGCATTTTAATTTGATCTAACTATAATGGTATTCACAATCAAAATATAATCGACAAAAGTTTAAATAAGTAATAGTTGTGAAATTAATTACACATTTATTTATTTTGTGTAATGCAAAGAACAATATTTTCGTTCTTTGTAAAATACATTACAAAGAGAATAACATTTCCATTCCAAAACAAAAAGGAGAGTTTCTGTAGAATGTGGTATAATGGCCTTTAATGCCATTAACATTCACAATATGTTGTACAAATTTAACTCTTCACTTTGAAACTCCTCTTTGCAAACCCTATATAAGCATGGCCTTTTGTGAACAAGAAGAGAACACTACCAACATAAACAAAAAGAAGAGAAAAAACTTTTTCCTCATTTCTTCTTATTCTTAGAATATTTTCGAGCAATTGATTTTGAGCAACCTCAAAACTCTTAGCCACGAGTGCACGTGTTTGAAAGTAACTGTGGAACCTTGGGAAGCGATCGGCTACAACGATTTGCACCGGAGTCGAGCCGAAATCGCTTTCAAGGCAGTGGCTTGCCACGACACAGTGTTTGTGATAAGTTATTTACTACTTTATAATTCCAATCTAATATCAATATTGTAGTATGTTTGCCAACAATTTGAAAGCGATTTACTAACATACAATATTGATAAATGACTATTTCTTTGAACAAAACTTTTTCTGATTTGTCAAAACTTTTGCCTTTGATGGAAATAATTTAAAATGATGGTCACAAAAACTTTTAATTTTCTTTGAACAATTAAAAGTTGATGATGATTTAAAGAACATTCTATGAATGGTTCTAACACCACTACTAATTCTAGCAATGTTATAGTTGTTGATGATGTTGTTAAAAAGAAGTTTGAAAAGGATAACAAAATTGTGAGAGGACATTTGCTAAATCATATGACTAATCCTTTATTTAATTTATTTTTAACCTATAAATCTACCAAAGAAATATGGGATAGTTTGGAAAAGAAATATGATGTTGATGATGCAGGAAAGAAAATATATGTTATCGGTCAGTGGATTAAATTCCAAATGGTTGATAATAAGCCAATAATGGAACAAGTTCACGAATATGAGAACTTGACTGTTGATGTTCTCAACGAGGACATGAAGATGTGTGAGATATTTCAGGCTAATGTTCTGCTTGGAGTGATTATAAAAATCAATTAAAACATAAGAAAAAGAATTTAACTCTGCAAGAACTTATCAGTCATATGAGGACTGAAGAAGCGAACCGTCTCAAAGATAAGATGGAAACATTTTCTCTTAATTCTTTTAAAGCTAATCTTGTTGAATCTTATGGTACTGTTGTGAAAGGCAGGTTCAAAGGCAAACAAAAGAAAGTCTTGGAAAATGAACATGTGAAGAAGAAAAAATAATTTAACAAGCCAGAAGCCAAATTCAAAAATCTAAGGGTCCTTGTTTTGTCTGTGGAAAACTTGGTCATAGGGCTGCCAAATGCTATAAAGAAAGGGGCAGGACTCAAAGCATGAAGGACAAAGTAATTTCCCAACTCATCTTGCTGAGGGTAATGAAGTGATTGTTGTTGTAGTCGTTGAGACAAATCTGGTGGCTAACAAAACCGACTATGTGCTAGACATAGGCACTTCAAGGCATTTATGTGCCAATAAAAATTTACTCCATGACTTTGAGGAGTCCACCGATGGAAAGTGTGTTTACATGGATAACTCCACTACTGTTGTAGTTATGGGTAAAGGAAAAGTTTTACTTAAATTAACTTCTGGAAAAACTTTATCCCTGAACAATGTTTTGTAGTTCCCTCCCTCCGTAGAAACTTAGTTTTCGGAACACGTCTTAACAAAGTAGGCCTAAAACTTATTTTTGAAGCTGATAAAATAATTATTTCTTGTGGAGGAGACTTTGTTAGGAAGGGATATGTGATGCCCCGAGCCTACATCCTGGGCGGGACTAGCACTCAGAGACCATTTCTGGCACCAAGCGAACCTTTGGCCTGGCTTACTTAACTCAACGGAAGACTTAACTCCATGAAAAAGTCTCAAATAATAACTTAAAGAATAATAAGTTGGCCAAAATGGCACTTAAGTCCTATGTTGCTCGGACTCTTCAAAAATGCCAACGGGTGCATGTCGAATTCACCTAAAGTAGTGTATTTTTGAAGAATCCGAGACGGGTACGGCATCAAAAGTGAAGAGTCCGCGCAACTAAGCTTAAGTCTTAAACAACATTCTGAAAGATAAAGAAAGACATCTGAACTAATAACTATCTGACTGTTATGAAGCCTCTAAAATACTGAGATGGATGTTGGGACAAACCCCACAACATCCTAATAAATGAAAGACTGAAAGAGAATAAAAGAGTCCTCCGAAATGCAAAGAGGCTCACCATTGACTCTGAACTGCTCAAATGGAGCAACGAGGTGCTGGATGCTGATCCTGGTTACCTGTGTCTGCATCATAATAAGATGCAGGCCAACTGGCATCAGTACATTGAATGTACGAGTATGTGAGTTGAAATGCTAAACCACACATAGGCTAAAAGTAATCTGAAAGAAACTGAATAACTTACCTGGCTCACTCAACTCAACTTGATTGACTCATTTCAATATAAAGCAATTTAAAGCAAGTGCAATATAAAGAAAAACTGTTTAAAACATGCTATAAACTCTCTGTGTATGCAAAGATACAATAAATCTGAGATGTATGTAACAATACAAATGAACTGATGTATATCGAAATACAATAACTGTTGTGGAAATTTCTCTAACCGACAGCCATCACATAAGAGCTATAGTGATGATAAAACGATCAACCTCACGCTGCCAGAGCATCATATACCCGGCCAAAGGTATAGAACCTGAACTGCCTAATGGATCCACTAGTCTAATTTGAAAAGGATTCATCTAAAAAGTATGAACCTTTTCTACCTATGATGGCTACATGGTTCTATGGGGGCTGTGGGTTCTTTGAACGCTTCGCCAATTCGGTGCTAAATACTACTCCCAAAAAATGTACTGGCTCTTATGTTTTTAAAACATATTTCCTCTGTGATTTTGAGATTTAGTGCTCAAAACTTTAGCTCAAAGGCTATCTTGGAAATCTAAGTTCCCCTGCTTGCTTCATTTTAGAAAGTAATTACTCTTTTCTGAAAACTAGCCCGAAGGCTCTTTGGAAATCACAATTTTCGTTCTTATTTAAATATGAAAACATTTTAAATCTCTTTGGAAATACTTAGTCCCCATATACTTTTGAAGAAATCAACTTCAAACTTTACTCTTTACTCTTTACTCTTTACTCAACTTGAACTTTAAGTCTTAAAACAAAGTTAAACATTTGGAAAAGACTTTTAGAAAACTCTAAGAACTCATCTTGACTTGACTCTTACTTCTCTCGACTT